AAAAAAAAGAAGGGATCGGATCCTTAAAGAAACCCCTTTTGTGCACCTTCATTTAAAACTCCCAGTAACGTTTGATGGTGACGTGCAGAAGCTTTTTTCTTCCCCAAACTCCTCCCGATTCAATATTTCCCCACTCACCCCCATTGTCCCGCAAATGGCGAAAACTTTGTAGCCAGCGAGAACTCTGTAAGCGATTCCCCCCTGCTTCCCGCACCCGGCCCGGGACCCTTCTCCTCTCGCTCCGCTCCCTCTGGGCCCGACACCGACGGTATTGCAAATCCCCCAAAACTCCAACCGACTCAACCCCGACAGGCCCGGGCCATCGCCTTTTCGCCATCAATTTTGGAGAAAAATAGCAGCCCCCAATTTCCTGAAGCCCATCCCCAAGACTCGTATAATTGCTGGTTTTTCCCCTCAAAAAACGCGCCGAGCTCTGCGACACAAGGAAACTGTTTTCTGCCGAAACCGATACAGCAGCTCCTCCTTCCCGTTGCTTAAACTTCCCCGTCTTTGCAAACACCCTCATTGATAAACCTCAGTTGTACCCCTAAAAATGCCATCTTTCCCCCTTTTTTTGGGGGGGAAGAGGAATCATTATCCCCACTGAGCTTGCCAAAAAATCAAATTACAAGTGCCACAATGGTTGGCTCAGCCGTGCCTCATCCCCCACCCCATATCTACAGCACAGAAGCTAAAAAAGTTTCATTTTTCCTCCCATGAGAGGAAAGCACCGACTGTGGGAGATGATAACAGGGCCTCCTGCTCTCCCTCACCACTGGCCTGGCCTTAAGTCTTTCATCAGAAAGGCCAGATTTATTTTTTCTGATTTTATTTAGGGGTGCAGACCCCCCCGTTTCCTCCGATCTGAAGACCCCCCACCTCCCCTCCGTGCTTCCCCGGCGCCGGCGGCTCTGCGGCAGCCCCAGCCCGAGGCCGATCCCCACTTCTCTAATTGATATTGATTGGCCAAATCGGTCAACTGTCAGCCAGAGTTTCAGGGGACCACTTAGAGGGCAGGAGAGAAATCTGTTTAACAAATTCATTTAGGAATCAGAGATGCCTCCCCCTCGGCCATCTCCTTTCCCCCTTGATAAATAATTGATCCAGAGCAAAACACCGACAACTCTTCCTCCTGGGAAAGCATCCTCAGGCCGAGGGGCTGGGTACCACCTTCCCCTCCCAGGGCCCTGCATCCCACCCTCGACCCTGCCATCACTCATTTTTGGCAAGGACAAATGCAAGAGGCTCCGGAGCCATCCCGTCTTACTCTTGGTAGGGAGGGACGTGGTGTCCCCTCTCCCAAATGTCCCCTCCGGCCCGTCCCCGGGGCATGCACGGCCGCCTTTACCTTTGTCGCCCAGGATGCCGTCTATGCTGTGCTTGGCCTTCTTCTCCCCATCTTCCTCCTTCTTGTCGCAGTCCTCCTCTTCCTCTTTCTTCCCGAATTTGATACGTAGCACACGGCTAATCGAACTCACTAAACCTCAGACAGTCAAAGACAAAAAGGCAAGTATAAGCTGCCTGGGAAGGCAAGGTGGGAGCCGGCCAGGAAAATCCAAGCCGGGGCTGCACGCCTTGGGCCGGAGGACTTGCACC